ACTACTACTACTACTACTAGGAAGAATCTCTAATAACCGCAGTACTAAGCCTTAAACCCAACATGTCATGATGCGAATGCCAAGCAGCGCATTGCAAAGGAGCCGGACCTGCCCGCAGAGAAGATGAAATTTCCATTTGTGCTGTGCTTACGGCCGGTGGATGAGATTCGCAGCAAGTTCGCGGCGTACAAGACCAAGAAGTTCGAACACATTCAAGACCAGTTGGGACTTCTGACCCTGGCTTCGATGTAGTACTTTTTGTTGGGATGACTCCAGCATGGTAGCTGTTCCTGTGTCATTCTCAAGTCCAAACTCAGAGCCGGCGCAGAGTCTTCCTCAGCCTGGAGACATGCGTTTAAGTGGCATGCATGTCCCACCTGCCCCAAAATTCAAGCACATGGCCAACCGCGAACAAGGAATAAGACTGATATCTACGACATCTACGCCGCAGCAGAGCCGGACACGACTCTGACGAAGATTGGAGTGCTAAACATGCGCACTCCGTTCGTCAAAACCAAGTTCGGAGACACGAAGCTCTTCTTCCGAAGCTTGGTTGAAAGGTAAATTTGATCCCGGTAGGCAGGAGTCGCACTGCGGAGCACAATGGCAGGATGCAGGGCGAGGCGACGATGAAGACTAGAATTACTGTTCTTCAGATTCATATTACTTCTGATAATGTTTCTTCTACTCCTCTGCTGTTATCTCCCCTCTTCCTTTGGTCAATTGCGCCTCCTGGTCTTGCTAACGACGACGATAACTACTACCGCTGCTATTCTGACTCCTTCTTCCACTGCTGCTGCTGCTGCTGCACTGCGACTACGGCGAGAAGTAAACATGATTACGCACAGTTGCTGCTACTCCGAGCGACCAAGCCAAAAGCAAGGTCGCCGGCTGCAGCAAAACGAAATCAAGACGGCTCTAGCAATCTCCGGAGCCGGTCAAAAACGATGGCAAAAGCACCAGTATCATCGACAGTGTCCGCGACCGCGACAAAGGCCAGCACAGCGGTAGCAACAACAGCCATTGCAACAACACTCGCAAAAAGAGCCGTTACAAGAGCGGGAAAGACTGCATCAGAGACTTCAACAGCCCCGCAACAGCGAACCCTCAACCTTGTAACTTCCATGCACCAGGTATCACTTGCAGTTCTAGAGGCAGAAACTCTACATCTTGGCATAAGTGCGTTGAGGATGTTTAGGGCAGTCTTGGAACTTTTCATCTCGGCATGTGCGCATTTCGGATGTTTGGGGCAGCCTTGGTTGTTGGGAAAAGGTTACCGATTGAGCTGGGAAATTGTGTTTTACGATGCTTTGCGCATCTGAGCCCCAATCCCGAACAGATGTGTGCCGTCTTCTGCAAATCAGAAACGTCAGCACCCTTCAGTTTGGGTCCTGTCGCGGGTCGTCCACTGCTGATGACACTGTTTCAGGTCATGATTGGTTCGAGAACGATTTGATGCGTCGTCCAGATTGGGCGCCAGTGGTCGATGACGAAGACTTCTGGCTCAAGGAGGGTGCGAATCGTCGGTTGAGTGATGTGGATCCAGGACCGGCAGACGACAGTTTGGAGCAAAATGCCTGGGTTGGCGGCTACAACCCAACAAGCGTCAATGACATGGTCAACGACGCCAAAAAGGGTGGAGAAGGATCACTTCTCCAAACCAATGCCCGCCCGCGCTGTCCCATGGCCTACCTGCACCAAGGTGACAACAGCTTCGTGCAGACGCTGCTGTCCAGGTAGACTTCCAGGCTTTTGGGCATCGCCGTAGTTTGCCTTAGTTTATCATCCGATTCACGGCTCGTCCGGACAGGGAAAAGGTCTCGGATTTACCGGAGTTCGATGCCCCCGAATACAGAAGTTGTTCACAATGTCACACTGCGTAAGTGTAAGGTTATAAGTTTTCCGGCCCGATGGATGGAAATCATGCGAAGGAGCTTGTTGGCAGTCTATATTCTCGGAAACGGCTCTTTCTAGTTCGTAACCCTGAGACCCAAGATTTTGATTCTGCGAAAGACTCTGGAGGCCCTTTAGCCTTTGGCAATCTCGGGTTCAGGGTTTCTAAGTTGGGCTCCTAAAGGGAAAGGTCAGAAACACCAAAACCCTGAACCCTAAACCTTAAACCTAGACCTAGACCTAGACTCCTCCACCTCATGCCAAAATCTCGACCCGGAAACCTAAAGCCGTAGTCCGCAAGCTTCGGCGAACTGAAAAGCCTGAGCCTAAGCCCTAAACCCTAAACCCCAAGCTAAAACCCTACGGTAGAAGGTTGTGGGGGTTCCGTTGAGGGGTCCTTTAAGGGTACCCTTAAGGGTTCCTATGCAGTAGACGCCCAAAAGTTGGAAACCCAATAGCCTCAATCCTGAAGAGTAATGTATAGGGGAATCCCAGCACGAATTGTTCTTAATCCGATTTCCAACCTTTTTGGGGGTTTACCCTAAACCCTGAAGATGAAACCCCAACCAAAACTGTCAACCGCAACTCCTAAGAGCTGAATAGCTTGGGTCGTAAATAAGGCTCCTTGCAACGGTACTATGGGGTTCTATAGTAAGGGTTGCCTTAAGTTAAGGGTTTAGGGTATAGGGCCTACTTAAAAGTTTATGGTACTTAGAAACCAGTGCTAAAGATAAGGTAACTGTACTCGTTCTTAGATATCTATGCATATATATATATATATAGATATATATATATATACATATATATACATATATATATATAACTATAACCCCCATGAACGTCCAAGTAGGCCAGACAGTGCTCCAAACTCGTAGCGGAATCCCAAACCTAAAACGTACAAACCCTAAACCCTAAAAACCTAAACCCTATAAACCCTAAACCCTAAAACCTAAACCCTAATACCTAAACCCTAAGCCCTAGACCCTATACCTAAACCCTATAAACCTAAAACCCCGATCTCAGCCGAGGCTGCTCATGACCAACATCGGCTCACTGCAGAGGCTTTCGCTGAAGATTCGGTTTAGGGTCTTGGGGGTTCAGGGTGTTGGGGTTTAGGGTTTTAGGGTTTTATGGTTTTGGGGCTCAGGGTTTAGGGATTCGTGACATTTCGTGACGTGTCTTTGTGGACTTCAGGCTTCAGGGTTTGGGTTTGGGATGTACTTGCCATCTTAATTTCATGTTGCCGGCTTTTTCGGATCCAGCAGGCTATGTTGCCGGCTCTTTAGGATCCCGCAGGCTACACAGGGGCTATACAGAGGCTGTATCAAACGTGCTCTAAAGGTAGGTGTTAGCTAGGGTGTAAGGCTTGAGCGCAGGGGTTCGGCAACTCTACACCATAAATCCTCAGACTTGCTTGAAGTGCAGGGTTTACGGTCACACGGCGTCAGACTAGATAATATTTTCTCACCATATAGCCACACAGTCCCTACACCCCCCTGCCAGGCCCCGATTTTACGCGAAAGCGTAGAGTCCTCTAAGCCCTTGGATCCTGTGTGAACTTTGATACGAATCTCGCCATCAGAACAACCAAGATCTCAGGACCACGCCAGTACGATTTAGGGAGTTTAAGGTTTGGAGCAGGCTAGAGTCCTAGGTTCCTGAGTGGTATCCTGTTGCCTTTTTTTTGTTTTAGTACCAGGGGGCCACCCTAAACTTCTAAACCCTAAAGCCCTAAAGCCCTAAAACCCTAAAACCCTAAACCCTAAACCTTAAACGCTAAACCCTAAACCTTGAAAACCTAAACCCTAAACCCTAAAGAGTCGAAGGTTGAAAGACGTGAAAGAAGAAATCCGTCATGCTGATAAACCCCAGGTCCCATCTACGCCAACAATGGGTTATGGGAGTACGGAGTATTGGCACTTCCGTAAATTAATGAAGACTCTCTCTCTATATATATATATACATACATACATACATACATACATACATACATACACATACATGCATACACACACATACATACATGCATGTATGCATGTATGCATACATACGTACATACATACATGCATGCATGCATATATACATATATATATACAGTAAACCAACCCTAAACCCTAAACTTAGGCAGCCCGAGCCTTCGGGAAACGGAAACCATCGAGGCGCAAGAGGGAGGACGAGCGCGCGATGGAAGCACTTCAGGACGGGTTCAGGGTTTAGGGTCTGCTTTCATATGCTCCGAAATTTTTTATACTTGAAGCAGTTTGGGTTTAGGGTTAAAGAAGGATTCAGGGTTTAGGGTTCAGGGCTGCTTACGGGATCACGGGACTTGGCAGGTAGGGGTTGGAAGCACTTCAGGGGTTTGGGGCTTAAGGTTGAGGCGCATCTTGCAGACACAGCGGATTCGCTGGCCATAGCTGGACATGCATGGACGATTCGACCACACCTGTCAGCCAAAGCTGGGATTCGTTTGACTCGAACCCGGCCACAGTTGAGCAAGGTTCGTATCAGTAGATTTTTCTAAGTGTATACCCTAAACCTTAAACCCTAAACCGTAAACCCTGAACCCCTAAACCCTATATAGATGTCGGGCTTCTGGGCTGCTAGTGATTAAAACCAAAACTCTGCTTCACGTTCTTCGATGTCTCAAGTTCAAGCCCTTGTTGGGCCTTCCGCCGCTGACAACCGACCCCCAAACCCTTAAAACCTGAATGATGAAGGCCCTAAACCTAAACCCTAAACCCAACCCTAAACCCTAAACCAAAACCCTAAACCAAAACCCTAAACCCTAAACCCTAAACCCCAAACCCTAAACCCTAAGGCTACAACCCTGGGACTCCAAATGGCCCAAAGTAGTAGACTGTAGACCCCCAAAGTGGGTTTAGGGTTTAG